CCCTGGAATGATATCAATGCGGTGGCGGATTGGTCTTTCCACCACACCGCTTGGGGCTTCAGCCACATCTGCAAACTGTTTCAAGATCCTTTCAATCTCTTGGGACCTGCCTTCCTCCTTAGTTTCTCCTTCCTTTACCGGGCGCACATATGCAACAAAGACTTTGTCATATAAGTTATGCTTTTTGACATGGCGAGCGAACGCTGGGGCACTCATACAACAGTGAGCTAGGTTGTTTTCCTTTCCAGATTCATGATAGAGGCGGATTTCTTCTTACCTCCTTGCGGACTTGGAAGCCAACATTCATGTTCCCTTAACTTTAAATCCGCATGTGCCGACTCACCCTAATCCATTCCTAACAACACATCAAAGGACAAGTTATCCTCCACCAAGAAGGTCAGAGAGTGGAGAACATGTTCCACCTTCCCCTCTGCCTCTAGCCGGAAGTATACTTGTACCCCCTCAACGTATCGGTCCATGACGGTTTCACTACTATTTGCTAACTTACTTACAATGGGTTCATCTAACTTCTTAACTTTAAGCCCAAAACGCAGTTTCTGCAAACCTCTTCTACTAATATAACTGCGTGTAGACCCGCTGTCTAGCATACCTCCTACTCTAACTCGATTCATTTCTAGATCTGCAATTATTAGTTGTCCTTTCTTTTTACGCATTTCGGTCCAGGCTTGGCAACGAGCGGCCAACTCATCACCCACGCCTGTGAGGGATCCATCTAGAGAGATGCATACGTTTGCCACCTCTGGACAGTGCACTAGATGGGGACTTCCTTCCTCTTCAGTTTCTACCATTGGGGCCTTCGAATGGGAGGATTCTGATTTTTCAACATTTGAAGCCCCGGTAGAGGCAACTGACACCTCTACTGGTTGTTCTTTTTTTCCCCCCTATAGTTCGGGCAATAGGGGACAATGTAGTCGGGGTCCCCACATTTGAGGCATTGATCTGCCTTCTTCCTTTCGGCCCAGACTTTTTCTGTAATTCCCAACTCTTTTCAAGACTCTCATTCCGGTAGGCCTGGATGTGGTGGATATGGCTTATCCCACTTGTTGTACCATGAGCCTCTTCCTCTACCCCAGGTGGAGTAAGAACCACGGCCACCGTATGAGGGACCATTTCCYCTTCCTCCCACGTAGTGGCTTCCTTCACCACCACCCCTCTGGGTGCCGAATCCTCGTCCACCACGGCCGTGACCTCTTCCTCGGCCACGCCCTCTTCCTTGACGCCCTCCCCCGCGGGCTGCAATAGCCGCGTAACTCCCCTCTTGAGCTACCGGTCTGTTGGGTTCATCGGGACCATAGTCAACCTGATCCCAGGAGATGGTCTCGGCGCTTCCTTCCTCAAAGGTTAGAAGGAGACTGTCTTTCCCAGATATAGACTCTGAGATGGTGCGGTTTTGCCATCTCTTACCCGCTTGCAGATCCTTCCAGTAATGACAATAATATGCTTCAGCGAGGAAGCCGGTATGATCTATGGCGATCTTGCCAAACTTCTCATATGTCATCCCCTCTTCCTTGGTACGGATATAGAGTTGTGTTCTTAGGTGATCCGGGAGTGCTTGTGCAAAACTGTTCAAAATTTGGGTTGGCGTCAACCCGTGATCAGGGCATTGCAATAGTTCATCCATAGTTGCCTTTAGTGCAGAGGTACTTTTCCATTTCCTGTCAGGAAGGCTGAGGATAAACATTTTTGTGCGCCTTGTCAGGTTCTTGTCCTCAAATCTCTCTCTTATCGCTTTAAGGAAATCCTCAATATGCGTTTGCTGCGAATATTCGACCATAGAGCTGCATTCCGCCTCTTTTTGCAGCGAGATGGCAAAGCTCATGGCGTCGCCTCCCATGCACGACATTGCCATCAACACCATGTCCTTGTATGGGATACGTTGTCCGTACACGTAAGTTTCGATTGCTGCTGCCCAGTGTAACACACTTTCTTTTTTTTTTCCATTGTAGGTCCAGGGCAGTTTAAGTTTTATCTTGTTGACCTGCCCGGTTTCTTGAGGAAGTTTTTCTGTTGGATCCCCAATCTTCTTCTCCCCTTTCTTATCATCATCGTCGTCGCCATCACCATCTCCTCCGTCGCCTCCAGCTCCCTTTACAATCCTCTCTACGACTTCCGGAGTGAATGTTTTAGTGACATGATCATCCAAAACCTGGATATATTTCTGAACATGATGGTCCACGTCCTTAGCGGACTTCTCTAAGAAATTATTCCAGACATTTTCGAATTCCACCCGATGCGTTTCAACTCTTTGCAGGGTTAGACGCATTAAGTTCATATCTTGTCTTGTGTTAAGCACTGCTTCTCTGAGTAAAGCTAGCTGAACTTCAGTTGCGGAGGGGTCTTCCTTTTGGGCTTCTAGGGCCTTTTGCAGTCTTTCCCCTTCTGCCTGCAGTCTTTTCTTTTCATCTATTTCTTGTCTTCTAGTTTCTAGCAATTTACTGTGCAACTCAGCCCTTTTTTCTTTCATCATCAGGTTTCGCTCAACGGTATCTGTCACCGTGGCCAGCTTGGCAATGAACACATCACGTTCTTCTTCCGACTCTTTCAGTAATTCGCTGGAGTAGTAGTATTGATTAGCCCAATTCAAGGGCTCAAGGGGAAGTTTATGTGTTGTACTACTCCCCGGAATGTCGATGGGACGACGTCTTTGCAATGTCTGTTCTTCCTCCTGTTCTGTCTCTTCTTCTTCTTATATTCTCTTCAACTCTTCTTCCAACTCTCTCTCCATGTTCTCTTTCATCTTCTTCCTTGCCTCCTCTTCTTTCTGTTTCTTCTTTGCTTCCTTTTCTTTTTTCTTTTCTGCTAGCCTGCGATCAATTTCAGCTTGCTCCGCAGGTGTAGGGCCAGACTTCACTGTTCCAGACCGCATCAACATGCGGGACGTGCACAGACGCGCGAACCCCAGTGGGAACATAAGCCGGAACAGTGGCCCCAACAAGACAGAAAGGGTCAACAGGCCCTGGATGGGATAGTCATCCATGATGACTGCCGGCACAGGAGATCCTCCGCCGGGTCACCAAGGTACTAGCCCACTTACAGACTTGGTCTTGACGTGCAGTAATGGAGTACTTATACCTTTCCTTTCCCTTTTTTTTTTTGTTTAACGGTAGAAGGTGTTGCGTACAGTCAACAATAGATCCAACTACAATGAACGTGAATATGTCTATTTTTTTTATTTATTTTTTTTATGTGTTGTCTGGCCTCCTAGATCAAACGTTTGGTAATGTGTTCCTGTTGTCTTGCTTTCTCTTTTTTTTTTTTTTTGGTACTAACTTCCTGGTGTCTGATGCAGGTATGGAGTACAACGCAGATTCAAATGGTTCACTTATCCAACCAGGCAGAGATACTTCGTATACCCTGTTCTTTCTTTCGGGCTCAACAGGCCCTGTAGATACTCAATATCATCCTTATACTGCCTGGTACATGCTATCTGATGTGGCACATTGCCACTTCCCACATCGATCCTTGCTTCTTGATGACGATACCCAACCTGCCTATTAAGAGGGATAGAGAGACCTACTCCTATTCGCGGAATGCTGGACCACCTACTTTAGTGAGACCAGTCCCTGACACATCACACTTGGGTCATCAGACTCTGACAGCTCAGAACTGGCATCTATGACAACCTAGATCCAGACTTCGACTCCTGACCAGATCAACAGCAGTCACCTTCAGAGGGTCAGAGGGAGAGAAGGTAGGGGACACACACATGCATGCAGGTTCAGGGAAAGATGCCGCCGATGATGCTCCACGACGCTCCGCACACTCCAGGTACGTAGACTTCGCCACTTCTTCTTCGGCCTGCTTCCCCCACTATCAAACCCTTCTTCTCTTCCTCCCTCCTTCACTCTTCCTCCATCACCACTTCTTCTCGCCGGCCTTGATCAGACCAGCGCTATGAGTGTAGCGAGCATCTGCTCCGATACCAAAAATTGCACGGGTCCTGGGGACCATCTCACGCAGATGTGTACATGTCATGCATCATCTTCACACGCAGTAATCAATAGTCTCAATCATAGACAAAGGTAGAGAAGAAGAGGACCGAGTTTCACAGCTTAGATTATCAGAAATATGATTACAACGTGTTTCAAAGTTCCCCTGAGTCCAGCGCTCATCGGCGCAACACAATTCTCTGTTCAACTCATCAATATGACTTCCAAGGCATCAGCGCTACCCTTGCAGATTGTCTCCCAGTCATCAATATGGTCACAACTCATCGGCGCCACCTCTGCAGTTCACACCCAACTCAGGTAAGTGTCTCCCATAGCCAAACCTTGAATGAACACTCTCAGTCCCTTCCTCTTACGATGCATTCACATTCTCTACTCATGAGGATCTACTCTGAATACTACTCATAGCTGCACACTAACCCTCTACTACTAATGCTAACTCGCTGGGCAGCTATGGCTGCGTCATGTCCAGCGTACAGTCTTCTTCCTCCATTCAGCGCATCTTCATCCTCGAGTGTTGCTCCTCCTGACTCAACGCACAAGTGCACCAGCACTTCCACGCAATGATAGCCAGTGGAGATCTGGCGAGGAATGAGGCAGGCAACTCCCTTTATAGTGCTGGCCACTCCTCGCTGGGTCTGCATTGGCTCAATTCGGCCTTTCCTTTGTCACAGACCCTGCATTGCATGTGTTCCAGTGTAGCCCCAATGAGGTTCAACTGCTGCTGAGGCACTTCGGCCTGGATTTGGACTTGAGAGTCTGGATCTGGACTGACCCCTTGACTTAGACCAGAACTGG